AAACTTTGTGCTTGATTCAATGTAAAATACATTCTCAATTATCAATGATTGGGAGTCTAAAGAAGTTGGAAATTCTCTCTTTCTATCGGTCTTTCGGTGATTATTCTCCCATTGAATTCACGAATCTTTGCAAACTATGGTCACTTGATTTGAGGTTTGGAGAGTTATCCTGTCCCCTTCAACCTGGTGTTTTGTCGGGTCTGAAGAAACTGGAAGAGCTGTGCTTGGGACGTTACATTCCAATAGAAGGTGAAGACGCCAAGATATTGAAGAATGCTGTGAGTGAGTTAGATGGAGATGGTTTCATTAACTTGAAGAAACTGATTCTATCACTTGGTGATTTCGAATATCTTATTGATGCCACCAACACTATTCCAAATGGCACCTTCGGTAAATTGGAGTCTCTTGACTTGGATAATTTACCCAAGTTAATAGAGATATGCAATGGAAATCTTCCAAGGGGTGTCATCAAACCTCAATTGTTCTGTAACCTTGTGAGCGTTACAATGATTAATTGTGGCACAATTAGAAGCTTGTTTCGGGAGTCAGTTGCAAACAACTTGGTAAATCTCCAAAAGCTAGACATAGGCGAATGTCCAATGTTAGAGGAAGTTGTTTCAACGGACGCACGAGAAAATGAAGTTAACGAAACTTGCAAAATGCTTGAGTTTCCAAAACTGAAGGAAGTCCGACTGTGGCATTTGCCTAGATTTAAGAGCATCACNATTGTTCTGTAACCTTGTGAGCGTTACAATGATGAATTGTGGCACAATTAGAAGCTTGTTTCGGGAGTCAGTTGCAAACAACTTGGTAAATCTCCAAATGCTATACATAAGCTCATGTCTAATGTTAGAGGAAGTTGTTTCAACGGACGCACGAGAAAATGAAGTTACCAAAACTTGCAAAATGCTTGAGTTTCCAAAACTGAAGGAAGTCGAACTGGATGATTTGCCTAGATTTAAGAGCATCACATCTCAATCAAATAGCGATGTTGTTCCTCAAACATTGTTCAACCAGGTATGTTATTCAACTTTCCTTTTATGTGCATCAAATCTGAAGAAATTTTGGAAATCAGATATACTCGAAAATGTGTTCCAAATGAACAAATCATAAACAGTGGAGCAAATATATTAGAATAGTCATTTAGTACAAATCAATGAATTTTACGATTACAAATATTATTAATCAGATTGAGCACTTTAACAAAACCTAAGCCCCTATTTGGTTTAGATAAAAAATATATATATATATATGCCCATGTTTGGTA